ATCCTCTGGATCCGTGAGATTGAGATGGCCATGAGATCAGGTCTGACCACGCTTGACCATCAACAGGTCTCGCTGGCTATCTCGAAGCTCGATGGTAGAGCTAGAGAATGGGCCTTGACGTGTAGCACGTCGGTGGACATAGCGTTTCCCACATGGGAGTCGCTCAAGTTACAATTGGTACAGGTGTTTTCCCCACCTAACCCGGCTTACCGCGTGCGCTCACGCTTTCTTTCTACCCGCCAGGGTAAGAATGAATTATCGGACTATGTCCAAGAGCTGCGAACGCTCATGGCTGCAATGCAGTCTGACCCTCTGCCTGAAGCAGTCCATGTGACTATCTTCATGGAAGGTCTACGTACTGGCATTGCCAGAACCGAGGTTTTTCGGGTTCACCCCTCTACGTTTGAAGAGGCTGTGAGAATTGCTCTTAATGCTGAGCATAACTTCAAGTCGGCCAGACTTGGTTGGAATGGATACAATCCTCGCTCTGTGAGAGCAAACTATTCGGGTACCACTGCCTATAATAGGCCGGAACCGATGGATCTCAGCTATGCTGAAGACGAAGGTGAAGCTGAGCTTCAAGCTGCTTAGCAGCAACACGTCGTTTGACGATGTTTTACGTGCGGAAGCACTAAACTCTTGCGGCCTGGTTGCTTTTTGCGTAAGCAACGCCAGGCTACAAGCCAACACTCGACCCCGAGTCAGAAGTCTGATATGGCACGGGGAATGCCGAAACCCAGTAGGCGCGGGGCGCCCTACTGGAGAAGAACTGGGTCCTGTTACCCCTTTAGAAGATAAAGGAAGGCAGGGCTTAGCCCTAAAGAGTGCCATACCTACGGGTACGGTGCGTGGATACAAGTCTGGCTTGTTGGTCGCCGAGGCGAAAATTAAGGTCTTTGAGAAGCCTTGGTCGCTATTGATCGATTCTGGAGTGTCTTGCAATTATGCTCGACGCCGTTCCTTTGAGGGAAGTCAGCGTTATGCTGAGGCGCTTACAGCGCATGAGGGTGATTCTATCACGGTTTGTTTAGCGACTGGAAGTCGCGTAACTGTGCCTAAAGTTCCATTGAATTTAGGTATAAAGATTTTAGACTTTGACAGTATTGAGCGCTGTCTTGTCCATTATCTGGACTCGAGATATCATCTCATCCTAGGTATGGCTTGGCTTGAACGCCATGAGCCATGGATTGATTGGAGGTCCAAGACCTCAGGCTCTACGCGCAATGTTCTTAGCGAAGCTTTGGAGAGTCATGAACCCACCTTCTCTAGGCAACAGAAGCGCTATTGGCGCGAGCCTTTGACAGAAGATGTCAATGTGCTGGATATTGACATCTTCTGTGTTTTCTAACTCCAACGTTGTATACATATTAAACTGAGCGTAGCTCGTTAGAAATCGGTGATACGGCACGTACTCCGTTATGTGTTGCTCGTTGTGATAACGAGTCTTTGCATGATGAAAGTATGGTTGGCCTTGGGCCGGATTATTAAGGATGGGATTCTCTTTACTGTGTGTGAAGTGGCACGCGAAAATTCATCGAGTGTGGGCGGCCGTGAGAACACCACACTTAATTTCGGTAACGATATTGTTGGCGAAACGCCGTTCAGTTCAGGGCTAGGCCCGCATAATGTACGTGGAGTGGCACGTGAAAATTCAATGGGTAAACAGTTCGAGTTACGTAACACTTCATTGGATGTCGGTAAAGACATCGGCTCTCGTATAGAGCGTACTACTACTCGAAGTAGTATAGGTAAAAGTGTTGTCCTGGCCCCTAAGGGGTGTGAGGTCTCGAAGAGACGACTTGGACGTCAGGTGGCAACTGTTAAGCGCCAGGCGTCCACACAGTCACTAAGTGATAATAGTAGTACACTATATGCGCTTATGAATGGACTGATCGGTCAGGTTGATGGCAGTGTTTGCCTTGAAACCCTTCCATCTTTGGACGCTCTTTGTGAGCTAGACGAAATGTCTGATGGCGATTTTAGCCAGGCCCTAAAGACAGGAGAGCTATCCGAATTATCGATCATTAGACCTGATACTGAGTTGAACTCTTCCTCATTAATGGACGAGTCTGTCCTAGAGGATACAAAGGCAGGACTTAGTACATGAAGTGGATCATCGATCCTTAAAGATCCTTTGGATCCGTTCTATCCTTTAGTTAGGGAATTTCAAGATGTGGTGTGTTGCAACCCACCTTCTGCCTTACCTCCCGATAGAGGTGTACGTCATAAAATTGACTTGGTTCCTGGAACTAAATACTGGCACGCGGATGGTTCGTGAGAGTAAATCTCCCCATTCAACACCGACATTTTGTGCCGAAAAGCCAAATGGAAAGTGGCGTATTGTGCATGCTTATAATAAGCTTAATGCAGCCACTATACCGGCGCAGACGCCTATTTCTAGAAAGGATATTCTTTAGAACAATATGGTAGGATGTACATTGTACAGTGCACTCGACTTAGTCGACGGTTATTACCAACTGCTCATGCGAGTAAGTAATATTCCGCTAACAGCGGTGAGTACTCCGAGCGGTATGCTCTGGGAGTGGCTTGTGATGCCACAAGGGCTATCTAACGCCCCGGCTACGTTTAACCGGCTGGTAACGCAGCTATTCAGACCTTATCGAGGCTATGCACAATCGTACTTTGATGACATTTTTGTCCATAGTCGTGCAATGAATGGGCGATCAGATGTGGATAACCACATTGATCATTACGAGCGGTGCTCTAGTGCATGCGGACAAATATGTTGTATGCTAACGCATCTAAGTGCATCTTTGGTGCAGAAGAGATTCCCTTTCTAGGGTGCTTCATTGGGAAGCGAGGCCTTCGAGCGGATCCCGCTAAGGTGAAAGCCATAGTCGATTGGCCGGTTCCCAAGAACTAAAAGGACCTGCGTAAGTGGCTTGGCCTTGCCAATTACTTACAGAAGTACAGTGCGAATGACGCAAATATGGCTCGGCCATTGTCCAAATTCCTTAAAAAGCATGTGGACTGGTGTTGGAATAATACCGAACATGATGCTTTTGAAGCAGTTAAGGAGAGTCTCCTTCATGCGCCAATATTAAATTTGCCTGAACTGGAGCGACCTTTCAGTGTCGTCTGTGACGCATCTGACTTCGCCACTGGAAGTGCTCTGTTACTAACAGATGTCGATGGACGCGAACGCGTCATCGTATTCGAGTCTCGGCAGCTGAAAACTGGTGAACAGAATTATCCAGGTTATAAAGAAGAGCTACTTGCTATGACGTACGCTCTTGTCAAATTCAGAGTACACTTGCTTGGTATAAATCCATTTGTGATCTATACAGATTATGCGTCATTACGCACTGCGACACAGTCGCCTCATCTGTCACAGAGAATGGCTCGTTGGATTTCCTTCTTTGCCGAATATAACTTCGAGGTGAAGTACAAGCCAGGTAAACAAAATGCCTTGGCTGATGCGCTAATGCGTCGACCTGACTATGATCTTGCTCATGTATTGACTCTGTCGTCGTCAGTCACTGACTTAATCCGTGCGGCATATGCCAAGGATGAACTAGTGTAGCTTTGCTACGGGATCTTGGGATCGATGAGTTAAGATACTCGGCCATGTGATTGTCGGCACGTTTAAGTGCGAGGCTACATCGATATTCCATCAATATTGGCCTGTTGTGCTATCGCACGGATATTAAGGATACCGCTCGTATCGCTGACCCTCATGATGAAAAGTTGAAGGACAAAATCCATCATAAGGCACATGATACTGCTTTAAGTGGTCATCTCGGTCGTGAGAAGACTTTTAGCTCGAAGAGACAAAGTTATTGTTGGCCCAAACTTTATAAGTGGGTGAGCACCTATGTGCGTACGTGCGAAACGTGTCAGCAATTAAAACCCTCGGCACATGCGGCGGCGCCGCTGGCTAGTTTGCCAGTACCCACTGGTTGTTGGGAGTCCATGAGCATTAATTTTGTGTTTGGCCTACCGAAAGATTTGGAAGGCAGCACTGGTATTGTGGTCTTTGTTGACTGATTAAGCAAGATGGCTCACTTAGCGGCTGTGCCGGACAACATCGATGCTGAAGGTACAGCAAAGCTGTTTATCGACCGTGTGTTTTGCCAACATGGCTTGCCTGTGGCAATTGTCTCTGATAGAGATCCCCACTTCACTGAAATTTTGGAAGTCTATCTTTGAGGTGCTGGGCACTCGGTTGGACATGTCCACAGCGGAACATACACAGACCGATGGTCAAACTGAGCGTTTTAACCGCGTCGTCAATGACATTTTGCGCAGTGTTTGCGCTGAGACGCCTAAGCGTTGGAGCTCAATGCTCCCTGTTGTTTAGTTTGCATTAAATAACGCTGTTCATGCCTCAACAGCCTTTACTCCGTTCTATATAAACGGTCTCACTCACCCATGCGTTCCGTTAATGCGATCACTACGTGATTCAGGGCTTGATGGGGGAGAGGTTGCCGATCGGCTTGCTGATATCAGCCCTGCTACTGTTCAAAAGTAGGTGGGCGAGTTTCTCGCAACGCGATTAAATGTCTTAAGACATGTGCGTGACGCAATGGCTGATAGCCAAGATAATTAAAAACAACAAGCTGATGCCAAAGGCATAAAATGCAAAGAACGTTTTGAGATCGGAGACCAAGAATTACTCAATGCTTGAAATCTACCTACAAATGTAATGTCTGCGGTCTTCAATACAAAGTTGCGTCCACGCTTTATTATCCCGTTTACGGTCACTGCCAAGAAGGGACTTGCGTATACGCTAAACCTTCCGCGAAAATTGCGCACACATCCAGTGTTCTACGTAGGCTAACTTAAGCTGAACCGGTATTCTTCCCATGTGAACAAGGTGGCGCTTGCGCCGACGACAAGGGCATTGCCCTGGATTGCTGTAGACGAATCAGCAGGTCCAACTGAGCCTCGCTCCGAGTTTGAGCTGCTCCATCGCCTGAAGGCGGCTTTGGATCGCATCCAGCATGCACTGGGTATTACCCAAGGTCTCTTGAAGACCCTTACTTCGGGCAGCCGGTGTACCGGTGGAGGCCCACGAATTTCTCGTGGGCCTCCACCGGTACACCGGCCGCCACCGACTTTGCTCGATGAGCATGGGTGTCGTCAATTTCATGTCTAGAGACTACTGAAACGACGTCGTCTTCAGGGCCAATACCAGTATCTGGTAAAGTGGAGAGGGTACCCTGAGTCTGAAAACTCATGGTAGTTTGAGATACTGCTTCGGCAAGACTGCCCTTATGCTTTGGATGCTTTCGAGCATCGTGGTCATGGTCATCTCGAGACCAACGTTTTTTGCCACCACTAGCGGTTTGGGTTGGCGGGTTTTTGGTCACAGACTGACCAGTACTCGCGGCTACCGTAGTAGCCGAAGCATAGCGCGTGCCCTTGCGCAATTGGCCTCTGGCCTTAAGCTTGGCTTTGTCATACCGAAGCTTGCGTTCGAGACGCACATCAGCCACATTGGCACTAGCCCTTAAAGCAAACATATTGCTGAGGCGACGTACATGGAGCACCCAGCGAACGAAGGCATCGTCTTCTTCGCTTACTGTTATGCCTGCGAACAAGAGAATGGGTACACCCTTGATCGGTGGAGCCGGTGCACCACGTGCTTGCATGTCAAGGCGTGTCTTGTATTGACTTAAAGTCGTTAGGTGCGGCTCCAGGTACCTCTCACGAAGTGCCTGACAGCTTACCACCTCCTAAAGAGTCTTAGGACCATGACCAATGACCCAGGTCGCCAATTTTTGGCCGGCCGCTTGACGTAGACGTTCCTCCACACTGGGTGGAGTGAACACATAGTCACGCTGGCGCTCAAGGTTTGCACCCATTTGTGCATGACGCTGAGCGTTTTCTTCTCTTTGAACAAGCAAATGTTGTTGATCATCGACCGGGTTCGTGGTGGTAGTTTCATCAGAACCAGGTGTTGAATGCTGCGCCAGTGGCGCGCTCGCATCTCCACGTTCAGAGAACGGACTTAAGGTATTCGAAGGTTGTGCCTCAGGCATCGGTGAGTCGGACATTGTCCCTGTATCACCCTGGACACTGGTATCGCTACAATGCCTCCTCTATTCCGAGGTAGTCACACAGAGTCTTTGACTATATTCGTGATGAGGACATCGTGCTTGAGCGTACGTTGCCGTGAGGTTTGTTGTACGCGCATCTGTTCACGCTTCGGAACACAAATTCGATTGACGTTTTGGCAAACGTCAGTCTGGTGGGGGAGGGTGTAACGGGGTCGCATGTAAAAGGGTACTTTGTACCAGGTGTGTCACGCACCTGATGGTACCCCTACGAATGTGATATAGAATATCTTATCGGTTTGTAGGGGCTGACGAGTGTCATCCATTAGGTACGAACAATCTTTGAGTAGGATTAAGGTATTCTATAGGCTTTAACAAAAATAAAATCAGTTCCCATTTTGATCTGAAAGACACGTGGCTTGCGAGCCGTCTTGATCGTTGATCACTGATCACTAAGAGTTAGTAACACCTCCTTGATGTAGCTACTCTTGAGCACTGAGTGCCGTCGATTCACTGAATCGTTAAGTTACCTGGAACAGGGATCTGAAGCTGTAAAGCTTGTTGACTCGTGGAGTCGTTAGTTCGTTAGAACTAAGTTGCTCGTAGAGCGCTAAGTCTTCCTCTGACTTAAGGAGCTATATAGCTCTACTACACAGATTGTGCTGCATACTATCGTATCCTTACTCGTTATCCACTGTCCGACGATGAGCGCACGTGGGTCGGGCGCTACAAGATAGCACTGAACAAATAACAGATAGTGCATTGAGCGTGCGTGCGCTACTGTATACGAGAGGTGCGAGAGGTAGTCATTAAAGTCGATCTCTACCACGTCTGCAAGTATATCGAGCAAACTTTGCTTGGCATTAATGAGTCACTCTGAAGGTGAAGTCTAATCAGCGAGCGCGATGCGGTCGTGTTTATAGATGGTATTGTGGAGCGTCACGACAACTATCGCCGTGATTGGCAGGCGTCCTCAAGTCGCAGTTATCGACGATACGATCCACGAACCAGCGTTGATTATCAGCGTTGTCAAGCAACGTTTAAAGACCGTAACATTGAAACGGTACTCGAGACGGAAGCGCCTTTGGAAAGGGCGTTCGCGATGACCGGAATATTTTGCGGAGCAGAATTGCGACATTTATGTTGTACTGACTTCTTCGGCAATAATGTTCACAAAGGCTCGAGATGTAGCAGCAGAGGCGGAGGGGCGTTCTAAGATGAATGAGGCGACAGTGAGTGAGCTTGCTCGGCGACTGGGCCACCTCGAACAGTCGGACGAGGCGATACGAAACAGGAGAATTGATCTTGAGAGGCCCGCGTCAGCTAAATGCGCCAAGAGCTATTTGTCATCTGTAACGGGGTGAATCGTTACATAAAAATTTATAAGAAATTGTTAATAGAATATAACTATTAGAGTTATATTCTCAGAATATTGTCATAAGGACAGATATTCTGTAGCACTTACGAGTAGTTCCTAATTGGTTGATATAGGCCATTATATCAACCAACGAAGACGCGCCACGACAGACGCACGCAATGAGTGGTGAGCAGATAACTGATTTACACATTTGTATTTAGACATAGTTAGATGAAGATAAATAGTGATATATTGCAGACATTAACTATACTAAACACAGTTCTACTTTTTACTTTAACCAAGTACTCGCTTCTTCTTACCGTCTTCCTCTGCACGTACCAGTGTACTTGAAGTTTCGCGGCACCGCTATATTCTGTCATCAGAATAAGTAGCTTGTACTGTCACCAGTACAAGCTTCAGGGTGCCCCGTTACACCTGGTAGCACTTCGTAGTCCGTCCAAGGACCGCGCTCACATCCAACATGAATATGTTGGATGATGAAGATGACCAAAGCTTTCACGCCACGCGTGACGGCTACTCCCATTTGAGCGATGTCGAATGGGATGCGGTTGAATGAATGGGTTCAACCATGGGCATCCATGCTGTTAGCGTCATGCTAGAGGCTCTCAATAGAGATGCCCAACATGCTACTATCGCCAAGTTCATTCAAAATGAACTTGACTCAGAACGCGAGAAAGTAGCCTTGCTTCACCAACAAGGTTCTCAACAAGCAGAGTTGTTGAGAGAACAGGGTGCTCAACAGTTTGAACTGTTGAGACAGCAGCAGGTTGCTGCTGGTGGGTCGATGCACTCGCGTCGACCCGAAACCTTGAAGATTGACATCTCCAAGTATAGGGGAGTCGAAGAGGACTCCCTCTTGAGATGGTTCATCGAATTGGATGACGCCATAAGGGCGCGTCGCATCGACGACGGGGATATGCAAGATGCATTTGCCCAGTCAAATCTGGCAGGACGTGCCAAGACTTGGGCATTGGGGCTCAAGTTGCACGACCCATATGAGCTCGAACCGAACTCTTGAAGCTCAAGCAGGGTAAGCGTGATGTGCACGCTTACGCGCAACATATACGACATCTTACGAGTTGTACAAGTTCCAATCCGGTGGATGAACACACGTTGGTTTCGGTGTTCATGCAGGGTCTTGCGGATGGTCCCGTCAAGACTCACCTGTTCTGGCTTGAATTGGATTCACTAGAACAAGCCATTTCCATTGCGGAGCAGGAAGACTTCAGTCTGAGACAGGCTCGCGCCAGCTCGACATCGTATCGTCGACCAAGACGATATGACAGCGGAGGTCCAGAGCCGATGGAACTATGTTATGTAGAGAGCGAGAAGGCTCGCTCTACAGACTACAAGAAGTTGCAGAGATGCAACAGATGTCAGAAGACAGGACACTACGCTTATGAGTGTAGTGCCCTTCGTCCAGTGTCTCGCAACACTGGGCGTAGTGACCGTCCACCCATGAGAAAGGAGCAGGGACGAGGGTCCGCAGTTGGTGCAAAGACGCAACAACGGGATGGACCGTCAAAAAACGGACAGGATCAGTAGGTGCGGAGCACCCTACTGATCCAGCAACGTCAAGAGAATTTGTAGGCCTCTTGATGAAGGTTGCTCCCAACACACAAACGTTGTGCGTTGCTGCTCTAGGTAATGAGGTCTCACTCATTACCTTGAAACTCGAAGTGACGAATAAGTTGTCCCTTCGAGCTCTAGTCGATTGTGGGGCGTCCAACAATTTTGTGCGACGCCAATCGCTAGAAGATGGTCACTTTAAATTCAGTGAATGTGACACACCTCCTACGAGGATGACGGTACGTCTTGCGACAGGCGCATCCGTAACCGTCATGAAGCGTATAGTGAAGATCCACTATACGCTAGAAGATACCCAATATGACGATGACTTTATCGTATTGGATTTGGATGACAAATTTGATGTCATCCTTGGAATACCGTGGCTCAGAAGGTACGAACCACGGGTAAACTGGCAGCATCGAACAGTAACGATGCCTGCCGCTTGTTCATCAGATGGCCATCTGATGAACGTTTTGGAGCGTCCACAAGCGTGTGGATGTACTACGAGTGAGTGCGATGGCCTCACTTGTGGTACGGTCGTTAGTACGACTGCACAAAACCTTAGTGTACCAAACGGTTACACTTCGGAGCAAAGTTCCGGCGGCTGTGAGGAAACACAGGCTGCGCCGAAGGTCCACCACTCGAATAAGTCGGGTGGACCGGGACAAAGATGTATCCCTAGCGGGGAACATCTAGAAGAGAAACAATCGATCGCTCAGGTTAAGCGAAACGATAATTCTAGATCGACTGAAGAGTCTTTCGTAGAGGATCTCGCTGTGGTTGCGCAACCCCAGCTAGAGGAAGTTAAGGGAATAAGTCCCAAGATTACAAATACGGCGGAAATAAGTTCCCCGAAACGCGCAGGAATAAGTCCCCGGGAAGCCGAAGGAATAAGTCCTTCGAAGCCTGAGGGAATAAGTCCCCAGGAAATGAAAGAGACATTGAATGTCATAGTCAATAACGGATCAAGTGTAGGCGCTTATACACTTGATCTGATTGCGCCTCCGAAGTTAACTTCGGAGATCACTCAGTTGCCAACGCTCGAACATAAAAGGTTCTTGCGTGATCTGCGTAGTGGCAAAGTCAAGCAGATCTGCATACTCGTCGCTGACGACGAGTGTGTAACCGACATAAGGTCAGCAACAGTGTTCACTGAGAACGAGAGAGTTCTCAGTAGTTCATCTATGGACGAGAGTGTCCTAGATGAAAAGACACGAATTGAGCGATATGACTCCCAATCGTGGTAATCGCTCAAGAAAAATCCTCTCTATGAAGATTTGGTTGAATTCAACGATGTATTCCCTGAAACTGTTCCGTGCGAATTACCGAAGGATAAAGGTATTCGACACGAGGTCGAGCTTAAACCAGGCTCGAAGTACTGTGTCATGAAGCAGTGGCCACTGCCTCGTGAACAAGTTCTTGCGATTGACAAGTTCTTTGCCGATCGTTTAGCTGCGGGCCATGTGAGGGAATCAACTTCCCCACATAGCTCTCCGACCTTCTGTGTGCGAAAAGCAACAGGAGGGTGGCGGATAGTGCACGCGTTCAACAAATTGAATGCTGCAACGGTACCGGCTCAGACGCCGATACCGAGGAAGGACGTAATCATTGATGGTATGTCAAAGAGTACCATCTTTTCGTCCATGGATTTGATGGATGTCTTCTATCAAATCCTTATGCGGGAACGGGATATACCCTATACCGCAGTTAGCACGCCTAGCGGCATGCTCTGGGAATGGATAGTAATGCCACAAGGGCTTAGTAATGCCCCTGCCACATTCAACAGATGTTTATCACATCTGTTGAGACCAGTACGAGAATTCACGCCGAGCTATTTCGATGACGTATTCATCCATAGTCGGGCTATGGATGGAAAGCCGGACGTTGAGGTTCACAGGTACCACGTCCGACAGGTTCTTACAATCATGCGAAAGCATCAATCGTATGCAAACCTCAAGAAGTGTATATTTGCAGCAAGCGAAATACCACTTCTTGGGTGCATCGTTGGCAAGAACGGTGTACGTCCTGATCCCGAAAAGATCACGGCGATCACCGACTGGCCTGTGCCGGTTGATGTCAAAGGTCTTCAAAATTTCCTTGGGCTAGCGGCGTATTTGCATAAGTATTCACGCAATTACGCCGAGATGACTGTGCACCTCTCTCGTTTGTTGAAAAAGAACGAGAGGTGGTTATGGAACGCTGAATGTCAGCGCTCCTTTGATGGTATCAAGCAGAGCGTGATACAATCCCCAGTCCTAGCAATTGCCGATCAGGACAGGCCATTTCATGTGGTCTGTGATGCCAGCGATTTCACAATCGGCTGTGCATTAATGCAGTACGACCTAGAAGGCGTTGAACGCGTCGTCTGCTATCAGTCGCGTCAGCTGCAACCAGCTGAGCGGAACTATCCAGTGCATGACAAGGAACACCTTGCCATGAAGTATGCACTCGCGAAGTTCAGAGTCTATCTATTAGGAGATAGACCCTTCATTGTTTACACTGACCATGCGTCATTACGCACGGCAGTGAACAGCCCGCACCTTTCACAACGAATGGCGCGGTGGTTGTCATTCTTTGCGGAATACAACTTTACGGTCGAGTACAAACCAGGACGGCTTAATGTCGTCGCTGATGCACTCTCACGTCGTCCCGAATTTAAAACAGTCGTGAAACCCAACGGTGAGACAGTCACTGTTTCGGTTATGACGTCCTCTGTCCCATCTACACCGTTGTATGATGATGTGAGGCGGGCATACGCCCAAGATGGTGAGATTGTGAAGTTGTTGACACATCTCTCCCAACCATCCCGAGAATCGTTGAAACGATTGTCGCCTGCGTATCGATCTGCGTCAGATCGATACACTACTCGTAACGGTTTACTGTATTGTACAGCCGTTTCTGGTGACACACCACATGTTGTCATTCCAGATGATACTGATCTGCGTTTGCGGATCATGTTCGAGTATCACGATGCTCCTATAGGAGGACATCGTGGCCGAGAGAAAACATATCTCACGGTAAGTCGAGACTTTTACTGGCCCCGCCAGTATCAGTTTGTGCGAAAGTATGTTCGCGCATGCGAAGTCTGCCAACGAGTGAAGTCAATTACTTCACTGCGTGTACCTTTACAGTCTCTACCGGTTCCGGCAGTGTGCTGGAAATCCATCTCAATGGATTTCGTCTTCGGGTTACCCAAAGACGCACGCGGGAATACGGGTATTCTCGTATTTGTTGACAGATTCAGCAAAATGGTACACCTTGTGGCTGTACCAGAGACAATCACGGCAAGTGGCTGTGCTTGTGTCTTTATCGACACCATCTTCCGACTTCATGGGTTGCCCCGTGAACTCGTATCAGACAGAGATCCACGCTTCACTGCTGATTTCTGGCGTTCCATGTTCAAATCACTCGGAACGCGCTTGAAGATGTCGACATCTGATCATCCAGAGTCAGATGGTTAGACGGAACGTGCCAATCGTGTCCTCGAAGAGATACTTCGAGGATACGTACACTCCTTTAAAAGTTGGAGTGAGTTTTTGCCAATGGTAGAGTTTGCCATCAACAACTCGGTGCATGCGTCCACGACACATACACCGTTTTACGTGAATGGCTTGCGCCATCCGCGTGTACCCACCTTACTAGAGTGTAACTATGGTTTAAGGGGGGAGGGACTCGCGCGAGCAAAAACCGATTTGGTTCACGCTCATCACGCTCTGACGAAGAAGTTATTGCGTTTGATGCCGATATCGATAACATCGATATCGAAGAAGATGATGCCAGTGAGAGTGCGGAAGCCCTCACTGAAGAAGATGATCCCAGTGAGAGTGCGGAAGCCCTCACTGAAGAACAGGTTGATGTTGCTGCAGTGCGCTCACAGCGCACTGAAGCTAACGAGTCATCAGATGAGTTCATACTGGCTCGTGAAACGGTAGTCCGTTTTGTGCAAGACTCCATCGCCGAAGCAGTGGATAAGCAAAAGCAAAACACAGACAAGAATGGAAGGGCAAACAATCTTTTATTTAATAAAGGTGACTTAGTCCCTACTGTCTACGATTAATCTTCCAAAGCATGTAGTGACTAACTTGGGTAGCAGTAAACTACTACCCAAGTACATCGGCCCATTTCGTGCATTGCATCGCCTAGGCAACGCATACACGATCGAACTGCCACGTAAGATGCGAACGCATCCCACGTTTTACGTTAATCGGCTTAAGCCGCGCCATCAGTACGCTGTTTCTTCCGATGAAGAACGCCCTTGCGCTCAAGCATCTCATAGAGGGCCTTGTGCTCCCGATGGTGGCCATCGACAAGGGTCTGAAGAGCAGTTATCTCAGCCCGAGACCGATCAATATCCCCACGAGCTACCCTTAGCTCGTCACGCAGAGATGTCAAAGCTCTCTCGCTCTCAAGCTGAGCAAAGGTAAACTCAGCTCGATGCTTCAAGACAGTGTCCGCCAGTTGAAGACGCCTGTCCCGCTCATGTTCGAGATCGTCGCGTAACCCTTGCGTTACGCGATCAAAGAAGCTCTCGGGAACACACCGATCCACATGATCGTGTGGAGAGCGTCTTTCCTCCTCCTCCACCTCCATTAGAGGACTCTCGCGGTGGCCAGCGCTATCTAATTGAGCAGCTGTTGAACCACCGCGACGTGAACGGACGTCGGACGAGTTATCTCGTCCGGTGGCGCGTCTATCCCCCGTCCTGGGATTCTTGGGAGCCCCGCTCCCAACTGATGATCGACGTACTGGGTCTGGTTGAGCAGTACGACGCGGCACATCCTGTGCCGCAGAAGGACCGCCGGAGAAAGTCTTCCCGGCAAGGTCGTAAAGGGATTTCAGGTTGTCAATCCCTTCGTACATCTCAGTAGAGACACGTACGCGCCACCACGGGCTAGTAAGGAGGTAAGCCTCCTTAGGTGCTCGTGCAGAGTTGTTCACACAACATGGGCACGAGTCTCCCCAAGAGAGGCAGGGTAACCCACTCTCCCTTGACAGACGATGCAGCTTGTAGCGTGCACCTGTCGGGGTTCGCTTTTCAAACTTATCATTAGCTTTGATAAGTTTGTCGTTCCAAGCGTCACGACCTACATCCTCAAGGTCATGGATGTAAGCGTTCCGCGCCTGAAGTAGTGAGGGACCATCACGTTTGTGATTCCCACTGTACCATCGATGTCTAAAGATAGCGTCGATGAAGAACTCATTTTCAGTGTGATAGTTTTTCGCACTGGAGTCAAGGTGATGGATCCTTGACGAATCGAACAATCGTGTTCAATAGCGATCACTTGTCGTCGCCGACAAGTGATCCATGACCGACTTTGGAGGCAGCCGTGCTTTTTTTTCGGGAGCGAGACACATAACACTGCGGTTCCGCTCTTCCTGCGACGTACCGACAGAAGTACTGGCACCTCGTTGCGAAGTGGTGTCCATAGGAGAACCGACACCACTGTGAGCGCCCGAGTCTTGCGACCTCGAGCGCCTTCGCTTTGGCGATGGTTCATCTGATTCGTCAGATAAACCGAAGATGCTGCGACGCAAAGCATCATCCATGCTACGCTTGGCAGGCGGCTTAATTTCAACCGCCTTAGATACGGATCCGTCTTCCGTATCAGGAGAGTATAAGACACCGAGCTCATACTCTGTAAAGACATGAGTGTCTTCATGACCAGCGCCTGCGTCACCAGGTGATACAGACTGAGACGCTATGGCAACCGATGAGATATCAATTGCAGCGGTTTCTGCTTCGGCGTCCGCACAGAGACGTGCGGACGCGCTCTCAGCTGCCTAGTTCGCGCACCACATGGGCTTGTTTACAATGCAATGAAACTCCTGGACTGTTGACTCGGATCAACAAGTGCAAACCCCGTCCCAAATGATTTGAGACGAGTATCCATTTAGTCAATCAGTCACTAAAGTGATTGACGGTTAAGGGGGGGGGTGATGTAACGGGGTGAACCGTTACATAACAATTTATTAGAAATTGGTAATAGAATATAACTTTAAGAGTTATATTCTCAGAATATTGTCATAAGGACAAATGTTCTGTGGCACTTACGAGTAGTTTCTAATTGGTTGATATAGGCCATTATATCAACCAACGAAGACACGCCACGACAGACGCACGCAATGAGTGGTGAGCAGATAGTTGATTTACACATTTGTATTTAGACATAGTTAGATGAAGATAAATAGTGATATATTGCAGACATTAACTATACTAAACACAGTTCTACTTTTTACTTTAACCAAGTACTCGCTTCTTCTTACCGTCTTCCTCTGCACGTACGAGTGTACGTGAAGTTACGCGGCACCGCCTTATTCTGTCATCAGAATAAGTAGCTTGTATTGTCATCAGTACAAGCTTCAGGGTGCTTCGTTACAAAAGAGGTCAGCGAAAAAAATTAAAGCAACGTGCTACCATGGTATTCCAAGCGATGCCAGTATCGCCGAGGTCGACGCTTAGGTAATCGCTGCTTCATCCAGAAGCCAAGCATCGTGTACTATATACAATTTTTTCCAGGACTCGCAGCGCTACATCCGTGCCCGAACAAGGAGATCACAGATCTGGTGACGATGTTGGACACACTCAAGACCGCTGCCAGTATCGTACACTGTGAGGGTATGACGACGTTTAGCTTTTTTCACCCGTCAAGAGCTGCTAACTCGGTGCAATATGGCCGATTCCCTGCAGGTCAATTGCTATGTAACGTTTGTACAACCCATTCAAATGGACACATTCTTTCTTCGAGAACGTGCAAAATCTTCTTTTCGTGGTGCCAAGAAGTGAATCACTATTTGTATCCATTCCGTCTGTTGATGTAACGGGGCACCCTGAAGCTTGTACTGGTGACAGTACAAGCTACTTATTCTGATGACAGAATAAGGCGGTGCCTCGTAACTTCACGTACACTCGTACGTGCAGAGGAAGACGGTAAGAAGAAGCGAGTACTTGGTTAAAGTAAAAAGTAGAACTGTATTTATCATAGTTAATGTCTGTTAATCAACCACTGTTTATCCTCATCTAACTATGTCTGAATACAAATGTGCATATCAACTATCTGCTCGCCACTCGTTGCGTGCGTCTGTCGTGGCGCGCCTTCGTTGGTTGATGTAATGGCCTATAACAACCAATTAGGAACTACTCGTAAGTGCCACAGAACATTTGTCCTTATGACAATATTCTGAGAATATAACTCTAATAGTTATATTCTATTAACAATTTCTTATAAATTGTTATGTAATGATTCACCCCGTTACATCACCCCCCCTTAACCGTCAATCACTTTAGTGACTGATTGACTAAATGGATACTCGTCTCAAATCATTTGGGACGGGGTTTGCACTTGTTGGTCCGCGTCCACTTTCCAACATCTCATCGCATGGTAAACAAGCCCATGCGATGCGCGAGCAAGGCCGCCGAGAGCGCGTCCGCACGTCTCTGTGCGGACGCCGAAGCAGAAACCACAGAAACTGATGTCTCATCGGTTGCTGAAGCGACCCAGCCTGTGTCACTTGGTGACGCAGGCGCTGGTCATGAAGACACTCATGTCTTCACAGAGTACGAGCTCGGTGTCTCGTACTCTCCTGATACGGAAGACGGATCCGTATCGACGGCGATTGAATCTAAGCCGCCTACCAAGCGTGGCATGGATGATGCTATGCGTCGCAGCATCTTTGGTTCATCTGATGAGTCAGATGAACCATCGCCGAAGCGAAGGCGCTCGAGGTCGCGAGACTCGGGCGCTAACAGTGGTGTCGGTTCTCCTATGGACGCCATTTCGCAACGAGGTGCCAGTACTTCTGTCGGCACATCGCAGGAAGAGCGGGACCGCAATGTGTTGCGTCTCGCTCCAGAAAAGAAGGCATGGATGCCTCCAAAATCCGTAATGGATCACTTGTCGGCGACGACGAGTGATCGTTATCGAACACGATTGTTCGATTCGTCAAGGATCCATCACCTTGACCCCAGCGCGAAAAACTATCGCGCTGAACATGAATTCTTCATCGATGCTTTCTTTAGACATCGATGGTACAGTGGGAATCACAAACGTGATGGTCCCTCACTGCTTCAGGCGTGGAACGCCTACATCCACGACCTTGAGGATGTAGGTCGTGACGCTTGGAACGACAAACTTATCAAAGCTCGTGATAAGTTTAAGAAGAGAACCCCGACGGGTGCACGCTACAAGCTGCATCGACTGTCAAGGGAGAGTGGGTTACCCTGCCTCTCTTGGGGAGACTCGTGCCCATGTTGTGTGAACAACTCTGCACGAGCACCTAAGGAGGCTTACCTCCTTACCAGCCCGCGGTGGCGCGTACGTGTCTCTACTGAGATGTACGAAGGGATTGACAACCTGAAATCCCTTTACGACCGTGCCGGGAAGACTTTCTCCGGCGGTCCTTCTGCGGCACAGGATGTGCCGCGTCGTACTGCTCAACCAGACCCAGTACGTCGATCATCAGTTGGGAGCGGGGCTCCCAAGAATCCCAGGACGGGGGATAGACGCGCCACCGGACGAGATAACTCGTCCGACGTCCGTTCACGTCGCGGTGGTTCGACAGCTGCTCAACCAGATTGCGCTGGCCACCGCGAGAGTCCTCTAATGGAGGTAGAGGAGGAGGAAAGACGCTCTCCACACGATCATGTGGATCGGTGTGTTCCCGAGAGCTTCTTTGATCGCGTAACGCAAGGGTTACGCGACGATCTCGAACATGAGCGGGACAGGCGTCTTCAACTGGCGGACACTGTCTTGAAGCATCGAGCTGAGTTTACCTTTGCTCAGCTTGAGAGCGAGAGAGCTTTGACATCTCTGCGTGACGAGCTAAGGGTAGCTCGTGGGGATATTGATCGGTCTCGGGCTGAGATAACTGCTCTTCAGACCCTTGTCGATGGCCACCATCGGGAGCACAAGGCCCTCTATGAGATGCTTGAGCGCAAGGGCGTTCTTCATCGGAAGAAACAGCGTACTGATGGCGCGGCTTAAGCCGATTAACGTAAAACGTGGGATGCGTTCGCATCTTACGTGGCAGTTCGATCGTGTATGCGTTGCCTAGGCGATGCAATGCACGAAATGGGCCGATGTACTTGGGTAGTAGTTTACTGCTACCCAAGTTAGTCACTACATGCTTTGGAAGATTAATCGTAGACAGTAGGGACTAAGTCACCTTTATTAAATAAAAGATTGTTTGCCCTTCCATTCTTGTCTGTGTTTTGCTTTTGCTTATCCACTGCTTCGGCGATGGAGTCTTGCACAAAACGGACTACCGTTTCACGAGCCAGTATGAACTCATCTGATGACTCGTTAGCTTCAGTGCGCTCACAGCGCACTGCAGCAACATCAATCTTTTCTTCAGTGAGGGCTTCCGCACTCTCACTGGGATCATCTTCTTCAGTGAGGGCTTCCGCACTCTCACTGGCATCATCTTCTTCAGTGAGGGCTTCCGCACTCTCACTGGCATCATCTTCTTCGATATCGATGTTATCGATATCGGCATCAAACGCAATGACTTCTTCGTCAGAGCGTGATGAGCGTGAACCAAATCGGTTTTTGCTCGCGCGAGTCCCTCCCCCCCTTAAACCAGAGTTACACTCTAGTAAGGTGGGTACACGCGGATGGCGCAAGCCATTCGCGTAAAACGGTGTATGTGTCGTGGACGCATGCACCGAGTTGTTGATGGCAAACTCTACCATTGGCAAAAACTTACTCCAACTTTTAAAGGAGTGTACGTATCCTCGAAGTATCTCTTCGAGGACACGATTGGCACGTTCCGTCTGACCGTCTGACTCTGGATGATCAGATGTCGACATCTTCAAGCGCGTTCCGAGTGATTTGAACATGGAACACCAGAAATCAGCAGTGAAGCGTGGATCTCTGTCTGATACGAGTTCACGGGGTAACACATGAAGTCGGAAGATGGTGTCGATAAAGACACAAGCACAGCCACTTGCCGTGATTGTCTCTGGTACAGCCACAAGGTGTACCATTTTGCTGAATCTGTCAACAAATACGAGAATACCCGTATTCCCGCGTGCGTCTTTGGGTAACCCGAAGACGAAATCCATTGAGATGGATTTCCAGCACACTGCCGGAACCGGTAGAGGATGTAAAGGTGCACGCAGTGAAGTGATTGACTTCACTCGTTGGCAGACTTCGCATGCGCGAACATACTTTCGCACAAACTGATACTGGCGGGGCCAGTAAAAGTCTCGACTTACCGTGAGATATGTTTTCTCTCGGCCACGATGTCCTCCTATAGGAGCATCGTGATACTCGAACATGATCCGCAAACGCAGATCAGTATCATCTGGAATGACAACATGTGGTGTGTCACCAGAAACGGCTGTACAATACAGTAAACCGTTACGAGTAGTGTATCGATCTGACGCAGATCGATACGCAGGCGACAATCGTTTCAACGATTCTCGGGATGGTTGGGAGAGATGTGTCAACAACTTCACAATCTCACCATCTTGGGCGTATGCCCGCCTCACATCATTATACAACGGTGTAGATGGGACAGAGGACGTCATAACCGAAACAGTGACTGTCTCACCGTTGGGTTTCACGACTGTTTTAAAGTCGGGACGACGTGAGAGTGCATCAGCGACGACATTAAGCCGTCCTGGTTTGTACTCGACCGTAAAGTTGTATTCCGCAAAGAATGACAACCACCGCGCCATTCGTTGTGAAAGGTGCGGGCTGTTCACTGCCGTGCGTAATGACGCATGGTCAGTGTAAACAATGAAGGGTCTATCTCCTAATAGATAGACTCTGAACTTCGCGAGTGCATACTTCATGGCAAGGTGTTCCTTGTCATGCACTGGATAGTTCCGCTCAGCTGGTTGCAGCTGACGCGACTGATAGCAGACGACGCGTTCAACGCCTTCAAGATCGTACTGCATTGATGCACAGCCGATTGTGAAATCGCTGGCATCACAGACCACATGAAATGGCCTGTCCTGATCGGCTATTGCTAGGACTGGGGATTGTATCACGCTCTGCTTGATACCATCAAAGGAGCGCTGACATTCAGCGTTCCATAACCACCTCTCGTTCTTTTTCAACAAACGAGAGAGGTGCACAGTCATCTCGGCGTAATTGCGTGAATACTTATGCAAATACGCCGCTAGCCCAAGGAAATTTTGAAGACCTTTGACATCAACCGGCACAGGCCAGTCGGTGATCGCCGTGATCTTTTCGGGATCAGGACGTACACCGTTCTTGCCAACGATGCACCCAAGAAGTGGTATTTCGCTTGCTGCAAATATACACTTCTTGAGGTTTGCATACGATTGATGCTTTCGCATGATTGTAAGAACCTGTCGGACGTGGTACCTGTGAACCTCAACGTCCGGCTTTCCATCCATAGCCCGACTATGGATGAATACGTCATCGAAATAGCTCGGCGTGAATTCTCGTACTGGTCTCAACAGATGTGATAAACATCTGTTGAATGTGGCAGGGGCATTACTAAGCCCTTGTGGCATTACTAGCCATTCCCAGAGCATGCCGCTAGGCGTGCTAACTGCGGTATAGGGTATATCCCGTTCCCGCATAAGGATTTGATAGAAGCCATCCATCAAATCCATGGACGAAAAGATGGTACTCTTTGACATACCATCAATGATTACGTCCTTCCTCGGTATCGGCGTCTGAGCCGGTACCGTTGCAGCATTCAATTTGTTGAACGCGTGCACTATCCGCCACCCTCCTGTTGCTTTTCGCACACAGAAGGTCGGAGAGCTATGTGGGGAAGTTGATTCCCTCACATGGCCCGCAGCTAAACGATCGGCAAAGAACTTGTCAATCGCAAGAACTTGTTCACGAGGCAGTGGCCACTGCTTCATGACACAGTACTTCGAGCCTGGTTTAAGCTCGACCTCGTGTCGAATACCTTTATCCTTCGGTAATTCGCACGGAACAGTTTCAGGGAATACATCGTTGAATTCAACCAAATCTTCATAGAGAGGATTTTTCTTGAGCGATTACCACGATTGGGAGTCATATCGCTCAATTCGTGTCTTTTCATCTAGGACACTCTCGTCCATAGATGAACTACTGAGAACTCTCTCGTTCTCAGTAAACACTGTTGCTGACCTTATGTCGGTTACACACTCGTCGTCAGCGACGAGCATGCAGATCTGCTTGACTTTGCCACTACGCAGATCACGCAAGAACCTTTTATGTTCGAGCTTGGCAACTGAGTGATCTCCGAAGTTAACTTCGGAGGCGCAATCAGATCAAGTGTATAAGCGCCTACACTTGATCCGTTATTGACTATGACATTCGATGTCTCTTTCATTTCCTGGGGACTTATTCCCTCAGGCTTCGAAGGACTTATTCCTTCGGCTTCCCGGGGACTTATTCCCGCGGGTTTTGGGGAACTTATTTCCGCCGTATTTGTAATCTTGGGACTTATTCCCTTAACTTCCTCTAGCTGGGGTTGCGCAACCACAGCGAGATCCTCTACGAAAGACTCTCCAGTCGATCTAGAATTATCGTTTCGCTTAACCTGAGCGATCGATTGTTTCTCTTCTAGATGTTCCCAGCTAGGGATACATCTTTGTCCCAGTCCACCCGACTTATTCGAGTGGTGGACCTTCGGCGCAGCCTGTGTTTCCTCACAGCCGCCGGAACTTTGCTCCGAAGTGTAACCGTTTGGTACACTAAGGTTTTGTGCAGTCGTACTAACGACCGTACCACAAGTGAGGCCATCGCACTCACTCGTAGTACATCCACACGCTTGTGGACGCTTCCAAAACGTTCATCAGATGGCCATCTGATGAACAAGCGGCAGGCATCGTTACTGTTCGATGCTGCCAGTTTACCCGTGGTTCGTACCTTCTGAGCCACGGTATTCCAAGGATGACATCAAATTTGTCATCCAAATCCAATACGATAAAGTCATCGTCATATTGGGTATCTTCTAGCGTATAGTGGAGCTTCACTATACGCTTCATGACGGTTACGGATGCGCCTGTCGCAAGACGTACCGTCATCCTCGTAGGAGGTGTGTCACATTCACTGAATTTAAAGTGACCATCTTCTAGCGATTGGCGTCGCACAAAATTGTTGGACGCCCCACAATCGACTAGAGCTCGAAGGGACAACTTATTCGTCACTTCGAGTTTCAAGGTAATGAGTGAGACCTCATTACCTAGAGCAGCAACGCACAACGTTTGTGTGTTGGGAGCAACCTTCATCAAGAGGCCTACAAATTCTCTTGACGTTGCTGGATCAGTAGGGTGCTCCGCACCTACTGATCCTGTCCGTTTTTTGACGGTCCATCCCGTTGTTGCGTCTTTGCACCAACTGCGGACCCTCGTCCCTGCCCCTTTCTCATGGGTGGACGGTCACTACGCCCAGTGTTGCGAGACACTGGACGAGGGGCACTACACTCATAAGCGTAGTGTCCTGTCTTCTGACATCTGTTGCATCTCTGCAACTTCTTGTAGTCTGTAGAGCGAGCCTTCTCGCTCTCTACATAACATAGTTCCATCGGCTCTGGACCTCCGCTGTCATATCGTCTCGGTCGACGATATGATGACGAGCTGGCGCGAGCCTGTCTCAGACTGAAGTCTTCCTGCTCCGCAATGGAAATGGCTTGTTCTAGTGAATCTAGTTCAAGCCAGAACAGGTGAGTCTTGACGGGACCATCCGCAAGACCCTGCATGAACACCGGAACCAACGTGTGTTCATCCACCGGATTGGAACTTATACAACTCGTGAGATGTCATATATGTTGAGCGTAAGCGTGTACATCACGCTTACCCTGCTTGAGCTTCAAGAGTTCGATTCGAGCTCTGAACTCAGCTCTAGGCGGTTCAAACGTTTGTCTGAGCCGCGACTTGAAGACTTCCAACGACCCAAACGCATATGGGTCGTGCAACTTGAGCCCCACTGCCCAAGTCTTGGCACGTCCTGCCAGATTTGACTGGGCAAATGCAACTTGCATATCCCCGTCGTCGATGCGACGCGCCCTTATGGCGTCATCCAATTCGACGAACCATCTCAAGAGGGAGTCTTCTTAGAACCCCCTATACTTGGAGATGTCAATCTTCAAGGTTTCGGGTCGACGCGAGTGCATCGACCCGCCAGCAGCAGCCTGCTGCTGTCTCAACAGTTCAAACTGTTGAGCACCCTGTTCTCTCAACAACTCTGCTTGTTGAGAACCTTGTTGGTGAAGCAAGGCTACTTTCTCGCGTTCAGCGTCAAGTTCATTTTGAATGAACTTGGCGATAGTAGCATGTTGGGCATCTCTATTGAGAGCCTCTAGCATGACGCTAACAGCATGGATGCCCATGGTCGAACCCATTCGTTCAACCGCATCCCATTCGACATCGCTCAAATGGGAGTAGCCGTCACGCGTAGCGTGAAAGTTTTGGTCATCTTCATCATCCAACATATTCATGTTGGATGTGAACGCGGTCCTTGGACGGACTACGGAGTGCTACCAGGTGCAACGGGGCACCCTGAAGCTTGTACTGGTGACAGTACAAGCTACTTATTCTGATGACAGAATAAGGCGGTGCCTCGTAACTTCACGTACACTCGTACGTGCAGAGGAAGACGGTAAGAAGAAGCGAGTACTTGGTTAAAGTAAAAAGTAGAACTGTATTTAGTATAGTTAATGTCTGCAATATATCACTATTTATCTTCATCTAACTATGTCTAAATACAAATGTGTAAA